GGCCTTTTTCAAGTCTGTAAGAAGTCTGGACCGTTTTTCTGGAATGTTAAGCCCCCTCACATTCAAGGAGTACAGTGACAGGGGATCCATGGTAGGCAAGAAGCACAGAGGAGAAGCCGTATGGCTGGCAGCAGGGAAAACGAGAAAATCAGAAAAAATACAGAAATATAGGAGTAGTAAAAATAAGCAAGAAATAAAAGGAAATAAAGAAGAAAAACCACAGGAAAGAATGCAGAAACAAAAAAGGCTGGCTCTGCCTACAGGCCAGCACAGGTAATGTATAGCACCCTACCCCAAATTTACCAGGGTAAAGGTGAAAACCTTCAGGGGTGTGTGTAAAAGATGTAAAAAAAAAGTAAAAAAAGATGTAAAAGAACAGTAATGTAGGAGATGCATCAGCAAGGCAACTGGGTGACATATCTAGGACTCTATCTGTCCTATCAAGAACCCCCTGGCTTGAAAGTATATATCTCAATAACACAAGAGGGGAGAGAAAACATTTGGGGGGCCTAACTGCAACACATATATGAGAAAAATATAGCAATAGCACCCATCCCTCCCAGCAAAACCAAACCATACCCTACATGAGTAACTTCAGGGGAAAAGAGGGTGGAGATAGGGCCTGCGCTACCGCAAGGCAAGCGGCCGCCTGAGGGCGCTGCAGGGTGAGGGCGGAAAAAACGGGGCATTTGCCAGAGGATCCCGACACACGCGGCACCTCTGGCAGTCGCCGGCCAGCTAAATTAGGACCCCACCTGGAGGTCCTCCCACCGGACCAGCGCTGACTCGCCGCTGCTCTCCCACACCGAAGGTGAGTGAAGGAAAAAAAACCATGCTGATAGGGAGCAGGCCCAGCGCTACAGGGGGCCGGGAGGGCGGCACAAAAATGCAACTTTGCCTGTCTAGGCAAAAATCTTAGCACCGGCCCTGGGTGGAGATCCCCTACAGAACCCAGTAAAGCATAAACCAGGTCAAGGTGAGCAATGAAAGTGGTCTACCCCTAGGATCTAGACAAGAGAGCCATAGCCCATATAAAAATGTAGGTTAGGGAACATACAAAACGTGCATAATAAACAAATCAGATCACAACCTTATCCCTGCCCGCCACATCCAAATATCAGAGACAGTCTTTCTTCAAAAACAGCCGGCAACACATTCCGCAATGGTCGATCCTTGTTCCAGTAGGACCAATAGGGTGCAGGTCTTGGATCAAACTGGAAGGACCCAGCCACGTAATATCCACCGCATTGTGCTTAGCCAGCAACAAGAAGCAACAGCAGGATGGAGGGGCAGAGTATAATAGGAGAACAGTCATTCCTGCATAGTAGACCCTATAGGGTAACACATATAAAAGGCAGGGACCCCTCAGGATATCCTCAACAGGCAGGACCGAGACCTGCCAGATTGACAGGGGCAACAGTATTCACAATGAGTAGCCGATCAGGCCTTGTTCCAGGCATGCACCGGTCAGGCCCAGCTCGTGGTCAGTAAAGTTTTCATGATCTTGGAGCAAGGGATGATCTGGGAGGCAGCTGGGCAGAAGCCAGGCTATCCTCAGAGAAATCCACCAATTGGGGATCGGAATTTCCTCAGCTTCCAAGAAGGCAAATAATGAGGGAAGTTGTAGCTGGAAGGAGTTGGGCCCCTTGCGCACGATGAGATGATAAAGTCTAAGATCGGCCGCAGAATCCGCATCATGCACAGGGTATGTCTGGGGAGTTCTGGCATCACTAGTATGCGAGCACCGTTGAAATCCATGGGACCTTTGAGCCAAGCTTGGCTCAGGACCTTTTCCCTTATTGTATAAAAGTGCACTCGGCACAGCACATCTCACAGGGGGCTGATGGAAGGGCCGTAGAGCGAGGCCCCAATACACTGTGTACCCTATCCAGCTCCAGGTCAGTGTCAAGAGGCTGACCAAGGTAGTAGTTAAGCACCACCAGGACAGTGGAGCGCAGATCTCGGCTGGCTGTGGCCTCTGGTATGTCTTGCAGCCTGAGGTTGTTTCGCCGGTTGCGGTTCTCCCCATCATCCAAATTAAGCAGGGCGTCCGTAAGCTGATTGCGGATGGAAGAGTGTGCCGACTCAAGGGCTGCCACCCGATCCGGCAGGGAAGAGGCGGAGGTCTCCACAGCAGAAACGCATCTATCGAGTGCCGACACCTATGCAGAGCTCCAGGAAAAAGCATCTTCACAACGCCGTAGTTAGACCACGTCCCCATAATTTATATTTTTGTTACATACTGATTATGTGTTAATCATCCAACTTTCTATTTCATAACAGCATATACTATAAGCTTCTATTGATTTGCAGATTCATTGATAGGTCATGGATCTGTCAGGGCTCAGGTGCAGGTTTGTGAAGTTCACAGCCTTAAATCCTTAAAAGTTGCCTATCCAGAACCTGGGTTGGGTTTGTTGTAGCTCATTACACATCAACCAGTCCCAGGGAAAGTAAATCCCTTTAAGGAGAACGAAATTCTGCGGGCTCGGGGGGGGCTCTTGCACAGCATTCTTCAACACTATGGTACACTCACTTCACATTATAACCTCCACTAGAGATGGTAGGTCCAGCCTGATGGCCAGTCACCTGTCTGCTCACTGTTATCTTCCCAACTGCTTCTTCCAGGTCCAACCTTGCTCTTCTTCAGGTACTGGACAGACACTGACATGTACAATATCTCATGTACATATTATCTTTGGCACCCAGCTCTGTTCTCGGCACATGTGCCATGCAATGTACACAGAAATGTACACAGAAATAGAAGCATTGCTAGGAACATGGGGCAAAGTTGTTTTGGAAAGAGAGACTGCATGTCTCTTTTGCAAAAAAAAAAAACAACCTGTAGTTCCATGCATTTTTTTTTTTTTTTTACAGCAAACTAGTTTCACTTTAAAATATGTTTTGTTTCATACCTTTTTGCCAAACTCTATTTGAACATAACAAAGCAGTAGTAGAGCATTGCACCTTGTTAGCCATGAACATAACAACATATATATCACAGTTACATGTGCAGTGAGTTACAATTAATTTTATCTATCTTTTCAGTTCAAACTAAGTTGTAGCATCATGGCAACTAAGGGGGTTATCCACTCAGCCAGGTGAATAACCGAGCTGAACACTGTTCAGACAATTCACTTCAGCTGAGTACGGCTGGCTTTGGCTCCCTTAGGTTCAGCCGAACATGCTTCGACTCAGCTGAGCCGAACCTCCGGCAGCTCACTCGTCATTAGACCCTATTCTCATTAGGGCTGAATGGTAGTGAGTGAATAGCTGAATGCCGCCGAACGGCCTCTACAATGTGACAACACCGCTAGCTCCACCTAGTTGTTGACATTGTATTTTGTATTTGTATTTTGACGAGTTGGGGTCATTGTGGGCAACACTGGACATCGTGATTGACGCTTCGATTACATTGGTGGATCAATTTTTGGGATTTTCATTTTTTATTAAAGGATTTTTTCTTAAAGTGTGGTGTTTTTATTTACTTTAACCCTTTAGTGAATGAGTAGAGGTACAAGTACACCTTACTCATTCACAAGGAGGGGCAGCATCTGGGTGTCTCCTTTATGAAAGGGAGTACCCTAGTGCAAATAAGCCCCCCTGCTTGCAGACCCCCAGAAGCACTGGGTCAGGGCTGTGGTGGAAGAGGCATTGTCCTCATCGGCAGGGGGACCCCTGGAAAGGCACCCCCCCAAAGCCGAGGACATGTGGCTTGGAATGGGGAAGGGGGTGCTCTGCTGTGTGATGAGCCTCTCCTCTTAGCCCCGCCCCCTGGTCGCCGAGACGCGGTAGAGGGACCTGCAGGAGAGGTAAGGTAAGTCTGGACCGGGAAGGGGTTCAGGGAAAATGGGGGGGGGGGGGG